GAGAGTGTACCCAAACCACAAATTTTGACTTTCCAGAATAAAGGAGACAACTACGTACCTAGATATTGGATAAAAACAGACCTATGCTAAGACATAGCATCAGAAAATTTCAGAACACCAGGCATAAAAAAACAAATCCTGAAAACATTTATGGAAAATAAAATTAATTAATTAGTTAATTTAAAAAAAAAAAAACATGCAAGGGACCATAAATCAGAATGGTACCAGACTTCTCAATGGCAACACTGGAACTTAGAATATACTGCAACAATTCCTTCAGAATTCTGAGAGAAAATGATTTTCAGTGGACTTTCAAGAATGGGAGTAGACTAGACATGTTTTTGCTTATAAAACATCTTAAATTTATGTCCCATGCACTCTTTCTCAGGAATTTACTAGAGGATGTGCTTATTAAAATGAAAGTGGAGGTGTGTGGAAAGTGGAAGGTATGTTGTCTAGAAATAGGAGATCCAACCCAGGGGTAGGGGAAGGGACTCTCCAGGGTGATTATGAAGAGAGCCTTCTAGATGGCAGCTGGGCATCTATACCATATAGGAAGACAAAGAACTCTGGGAAAGATGCCACCAAGGAGAAAAGGGAAAATGAATTTACTTTTTGCTGTTTTTATTGTATTTTAACTGAATTAGAAAGCTTAGTAAAGAACAAGTACATAGAAACCTACCAAACAAAAGCAAGATGGAAAAATATAGTGTACTACATAAACTCAGTTATGAATATTTGGATAGTAATTGTAAAAACTGAGCATTGATTTAACTCAAAGGTGTTATAAACCATCTTAGAGAATGACGGGAGGGCTGGGGAATACATATAATTGGGAGGCAGGAGGTAAGAGAGTCAAATCCTCATCTCCCAAACAGGAAGTAAAACAAACAAACAAAGAAAAACCCTCTATATCTAGATAAATATACATTTAAACTCAAACAATCAAGGTATAGTGTAAGCATAGCATTTAGAACTATGGAGCCAAATAGCTAAAACTATTGAAAATATTGTTTCTGAGGAATGGGAATCAGAGTAAGGAAGGAGTATGTCCGGAGACAGGTGCTTTATGATAAGCCTTCAAGTAATATTTGTCTTCTAAAGCTATATACATGTATTACTTTGATTTAAAAATTAGAGAAAACGTATATCCATACGAAAATGCGCACAGAAATCATCACAGCAGCACTATTCATAACATCAAAAAGTAGAAATAATTCAAATGTCTATCAACTGACAAATGCATAAATAAAATGTAATGTATTCATACAATGGAATTTCATTTTTCTATTAAAAATAGTGCAGTACTGGGGCCAGCAGGTGATGTGGTGATTAAGGTACTGGATTATCACATGGATAACCACAGTTCAAGTCCCAGATCTGACAGCTTGAAAATCACACTGGGTGTGTGTGCTCAAAATTCTGAGAGGAGAATGGAGGCAAAGGGATTGTGGTATGGCCATCCCCTGTGGGGAGTGATGTCTCACTTTTACTCTCTTTGCCTCTGTCACAAGAACACACTCTATGGTAAAAACCTAAATAAGTAAATAAATAAAATAGTGCAGTACTGATGTATGCTGCAGCTAAAGCACAAATGGGTCTAGAAAACATGCTAAGGGACAGGAGCTATCACAAAAGACCACATATTGTATGATCCTATTTATATGAAATGTCAAGAATGGGTAATAGAGACAGAAAATAAACTAGTGGTTGCCTATAGCAAGGGACTTGACAAGTTTTCTTTATAGGGTCATAAAAGTGTTCTGGAATTATATAGTGTAATTGTGCAACTGTTCATATATTAAAACTACTGAATCGTACACTTTTAAAATGTAAATTTTGTAGTATATGAATTACATCTCAATAAAGCTGTTACTAAAATATTGAAGAAAAAACAAAAATAGTGCCTTATTCATAGGGTTGTTGTGAGAAACAAATGAAATAATATATGGGACCAGCAGCAAGCGTAATGGCTACGTCACTGAACTCCCATGTAGCCAACTGTGGTTCGAGTTCTGGACCAGGTGGCTTAAACTCATTCCGGGTGTGTGTGCGGGCATGCCCAAGATCCCGAGAGGAGAATGGAGGAGAGAAGGGATTGCGGCGTGACCATCCCCCCTAAGGGGTGATTTCTCACTTTCTATCTCTCTGTCTCTGTCTTTCTGGTGAACGCACGCACCCTATAGCAAAAACCTCTACAAAAAAAAAAAAAAAAAGAAATAATGTATGAAAAGTCTAGAGCCTGATATATATATTAAAAAACTACTTATATTTATATACCATTTGCTATGTGCCAGAAACTCAGTTCTAAGTTCTCTACCTAAAGCAGTTCACTTAAGTCTCTAAACAACTGTACAGAGTAGACATTATCCTTACTCCCATTTTCTAGATACACAAACTGAGGCCAGTAAAATTAAATAATTTGCCCAAGGTCACACAATGAGCACAGCAATAGAACTGGGATTTGACCCCCTCGTAACTGGGTCAGTATCTTTATCCTTAATCACTCTGCCATGCTTCCTCAGTGTCGTTAGTGCTATGTGCCCATGGGCATTCTGCTCTGCTTTTCTTTTTCTTTTTCTTTTTTTTTTGCCAGCTCCCAGAAGTTTATTAGCATGATTAAAAACATTTTCTTGAGTAACAACAGAATTTCTAAATATCAGTGACTATCCTTATAACCAATATTTGGAATTGAATGAACAGCATATTGCCAGTATTCATTTTTGTTTGTTTGTTTGTTTGCTTGTTTTAGGTTTTTGCCATAGGGTGCATGTGCTCACTAGAGAGAGAGGGGGAGGGAAAATGAGAGATCACCCCTGGGGGAATGGCCACAATGCAATCCCTTCTCCTCTATTCTCCTCTCGGGATTTTGAAAACACACGCACATGCACCCTGTGTGATTTTCAGGCCATTGGGTCTGGGATTCAAAGAACAGTCTTCCACATGGGAGTCCAGGGTCCTAACCACCATGCCTCCTGCTAGCCCTGCCAGTCTTCATTTTATTAACAAGAATCCACTTACTGATTCCATGAAGTCATGACTATCACTTTGTCTGGGAATAGACTCTACTGCAATTAAGTATAAAAAATATCTTCCATCACTTGCTTTTTTTTTACTTATCTGTGACCTCACCCATAATGGACTTTCTAGAAGGGCAGAGACTAACCATCTTGATTAGTCTTCATTCCCTGCTCTTATGTGAAAGGAAAGAGCCTCAGAATGAAATAAAGGCGTTTTTCTCTTTGTATTATTCCTGCTAATGCCGGAGGAAGTGGAGGGAGCATAAGAGATTAAAGATGCTAGCAAAACGTGTGATAGTTGACAAAGTAAGGTATGTAAGGAAGTAGAAGGTAAGATTAAGATTATAATGAAGAACTGTTGACCTTGAAAAGAAGGGATACTATATCCTCCATTAAAACAGAAAGAGAAAGAAAAGATAGGCCTTGTGAAAGCAGAGCTCAAACCAGGTGGATTTGGATTGCACACTCAATAATGGCCAGCAGAGGAATCTTGGGCCAGGAGAGTGTGGGCGGGTGGAATGGGAGATTCAGGCAAGATGGGAGAGTTTAGAGTACATGCCTAACATTTTAAGGTCTGTGCGCTCTTTAATAATAGGATGAATAATATGGTAGGCTCTTTTCCTTAAAAATGGTACATACACAAAATCATTGCATAGAAGATTAGGGGTCCATGGACTCAGGGAAGAGAATGCCTGCTCTCAGGAATTCACGCAATCGAATAGACATATTTCTGAGAAGTAACACAAGTCAAGCAGCTCAATTTTATAGATTTCCAAGTCTATGTTACTATGACTTTCTTAAGCAGCAGTCAGAGGCTCTGGAGTAGCAGGGGATCTGATATGAGGGTCTGAGGGCCTCAGAGCAGTGCCAGGGGTACGCTGAAGTCAGGGAGGGCAAAAGGGCTTGAAGTAAGGCAAAGCATTGGCCCATGAAGTGGGAGAAGTAGCGGGAGAGGCATGTGGAGCACGGATGGGGGGTGTTTAGGAGAGATTCACGCTGGGTGTAGGCCATGAAAGGGAGCGTTGTCTGTGCAAATGACAAAGCAATGCTAAAACCAAAAGGCAGTCTTCTGTTTATTATCACGGTAAACAAGCATTTTAAAACACTGACAATGACAAAATACTCCTCTCTGACAAAGCCTTGGTCTAAGACTTCCACAATTGCTTGTATCTGGGTAGACTGGTACCACTGAGAGGCAGATGAAGAGATTAAGACTGAGGGAGTAGGGCAGGGCTTCAAAGAGTGCAGTCCAGGATGTGGCTGTGGGGCTGGTGGGTGGCTGACGTGGCGTCAAAGTTGACTTGGTGCTAACGCAGAGAAGGGCTCCGTCTCCTGGGTGATTGAAAGCAGCACTCAGTTCAATGGCTTTCATCTTCGATAATTGAGACATTATCTAGAATCCTGAGTGCTTTCTTTTTCTTTTCTTTTCTTTCTTTCTTTTTCTTTTTCTTTTTTTTTTTACTTAAATCAACTGCTAATCATAACTGTATATTACACTGTCTTTGAATGTCAACTTTGCTCAAATCCGGTTCAGTATCACACTGCCTTTTTCACCCCTCTCTTATGAATGCATTTATATACTTACATGTCTTTTTCACCACTGTACTTTGTACTCCTAGAAAGCAATGATTGTCTTAATAATTTCTGAATCACCAGTTCAAGTAGGCACTCTACCACTTGAGCCAATGCACAAACATATTTTTCTTTCCTTTATAGATTACCCAGAAGACCAGACACCAGTAGATACAGAATGCTGCCGCTTTCCTACTCCCAGGTAAAAGAAATGAGTGTCTATTCCTCTTTATGAAGTGTTCCATGGGATATGGAACCAGGTTAGGAAGATCCACAGATATTGCTCATCTCTTCCTTAAGATTATCTGGACATTCCCTGTGAAGTCCTGCTGCAGAGACCTGAGTGAAGACTGTTTCCACCACAGCGGAATTCACCAGTATTGTGTTGCTGGGCAGGTGTGATCAGCACTTAACAGCAATGCATCTATGTCCCTCTGGTGTTCTTAGAAAATTTAGGTGATTTTTGAAATATCTCTGCAATTTTTTAATTGAAAGTAATTATGGTGCCAGCTGGTGGCCTGGTGGTTAAAGTGGCTCTATCCCACATAGCTGATTATATGGTTTAAATCCCAGACTCAAAAGCTTGAAAAATATGCCCAATGCATGTGCACATAAGCCCAAAATCCTGAAATGAGGGAGAGATGGAAAAGGGATTGTGGCATGACAATGCCCCATTGGACATCCTCACTTTCTATCTCTCTCTCCTTCTCTGTATCTATATCTGTCTCTCTCTGGTGAGCACATATGCCTTCTGACAAATTAAAAAGAAAGAGAAAGAAGAAAAAAAGAAAGAAAAAGAGAGAAAAAAAGAAAGAGAAAGAAAGAAAGAAAAAAAGAAAGAAAGAAAGAAAGAAAGAAAGAAAGAAAGAAAGAAAGAAAGAAAGAAGAAAGAGAGAAAGAAAGAAAGAAAGAAAGAAAGAAAGAAAGAAAGAAAGAAAGAAAGAAATAAAGAAAGAAAGAAAGAAAGAAAGAAAAAAGAAAGAAAGAAAGAAAGAAAGAAAGAAAGAAAGAAAGAAAGAAAGAAAGAAAGAAGGAAAGAAAGAAAGATAGAGAAAGATGGAGGCCAGCAGGTGGTGTGGTGGTTAAGGGCACTGGACTCCCACATGGCTGATGACCGCGGTTCAAGTCCTGGACCTGGTGGCTTGCTTTCTCACTTTCTCTCTCTCTCTCTGTCCCTTTCTGAACAAATTAAAATAAACATTAAATAAAGTAATTCTTTAAAAAAAAATGGAAGAGAAAGAAAGAGAATTTATGCAATGGAAAGAACAGGATCCCCTTAATCTTTGCTAAGGAACACAAGAGTGCTAGTGGTTCTCTATAAGATTAACTATTTCTAGAAGGATTGACTTCCCACCATTTCTTTCCATTCTATTGCCCACCCTCTTCTCAAAGATGGCACCTCCGTGGTCTTGTGACTAAGAGGTCACTAGACTACTGGCTAGTGGAGTAGATAAATCAGAAGAGTTTGGTTTAATCTGTGAGATCAGAAGCAGGAACTTTTAGAGAAGAAATCAAAGGAGCAAAAAGAGGCTTCTTTGGTGACACACTGGGAATGCAATTGGGACCACATGGGAAAGGTCCTAGATTTGTGTTCCAGGACCTCCCTGAGCCCACAGGGTACACACATGTGTGCTTGTGATCTGGATAGGCTGAGGCTAAAGGGTGTATTGTGGCATAAAAGCTATTGAGCTCTCTCTCTCTCTCTCTCTCTCTCTCTCTCTCTCTCTCTCTCGGGATAAATATATACACATTTCATTTAAAATAGGAGAAGAAAAAAGGGACCAGCAGTTAGTGTAATGGCAATGTCGCTGGACTGCCATGTAGTCGACCATGGTTTGAGTCCTGGATCTGGTGGCTTAAACTCACGCCAGGCGTGTGTGTGTGTGTGTGTGTGTGTGTGTGTGTGCCCAAGATCCCGAGAGGAGAATGGAGGAGATGAGATCGCAGTGTGACCATTCCCCCTGGGGGGTGATTTCTCGCTTTCTTTCTCTGTCTTTTTCTGTCTTTCTGGCGAGCACACGCGCCCTGTTGCAAAAACCTCTGCAAAAATAAAATATAAGTAGCAAAAGAGTAGTCCCCAAGCATTTAGAATACTACTACCCCCTGACAAACACCTCAATGACCCCTAGCAAACATGTGTGTGTATAGAATGATCGGACATCAACTCATCATCTCATCTAGAAGCCCCATTCCTAAACATCAGATTTACTACTGGAGCCATATACATTCTTGGGGCAATGTGTAGACTAGCTTAGTTGTTTGTCAGCATAACTCAGGGTGACACAATCTTCACAACCCTTAGAAACGCAAGAGGATATTCCGGTTGAAGATAGGATAGGAATTTGCCCTTAAGACAAGCAGCTGGTCATAGAACACAATTCCCACCCCCACCCCTGCTAATTTTATAAAAGTGCATTAAAGAAAAAAGAATAAATAAAATTGGTCTCTACAAGGAATTAAGCTACCCATTTAACTATAGCAGCTGCCTGTGTGATCTACTGCTGTTTATAGGAAACCTTTAAATAATTGAAACCTTTAATTGGGTTAAAGAGATCCTTAGCACATAGATGTTCCATAAATAAAAGAATGAGTAAATAATATAGTAACCTTCCTTCTCCTACCGTTCTCTTAAAGAGATGGCTTTGTTTGGTTTGCACCAATAAGGTAAGTTGTTAGGGGACTCAAGAGGTTTGGTTTCAGCTGGGGCGGGGCTTTCCCAAGGAAGTCCCTTGTAGTTCGCTTCAGGTGTACAGCCACTTTCTCCTTGACTCTTTCATTAAAAATGAATAATTTGTTTAGCTTTACTCTAAATAGGTAAGCATTGGGGCTTGCGTTGACAGCTAGGGTCAGAAAAAGACGTCTAGGGAGCAGGCTGACCTTGCCTAGCTATCTGCAATCAGAAAGGTTTCAGTAGCCCAGGGCCTACTTAAAGAGACTGGAGGAGAAAGAAAGGGAAGGAGAGAGAAAAATGCTGTTCAAGAGGAAGTGGTAAGAGGCGTCTGAATTTCAGTGTGACCTGTTCTGTCAGGTGATTTGGGGGGTGGGGGGACATGAAAAAAAGTTAAGTAAAATGTCCTTATAAAGACAAAATCTATTTCTTTCCTGGCTGATGATTTGTCATTCTAGTCACTTCCTGCCTTGTGACCACACACCCGGGCTTGGCAAAGCTGTTCTGCAGATCAGAAAGAAGGGAGTTTTGGTCACACGCCAAACTACCAAGGACAGTTTCTCTACAAGGTAAGTTTTGTGTGTGTGTGTGTGTGTGTGCGTGCGAGTGTGTGTGTCTTTTTGTCATTTCTAAGTGCTTGTTGATGCTGTTTGGTTCCGATTCTGTAGATTGTGGATTTTGCCTTCAGGGGACTAGAGATCTGAGCACCTGTCCCCCAAGCCCTCTGTGAGCCCTGTCACCACCATCTAGCTTCTCAGGAGACCCGTAGCCACCTTGCATGGCCACCCAGGACTGAGTCCTTCGGCTCACCGGGTTGGGTTCTTCTACAGTTATCTACAGTTATCACCCCTTAAAAATTTTGATTTTCTCTGTTTTTAAACTAAAACATATTCTGATTTGTTTCTGTTGCTGTATTTCAGGAAGGCTATTTACTATGATTTTATCTACTTTAAAATGTTTTCAGGAAAGTGCATATTGATCATTTAGATTGTATTGTTTGTTGGTTGGCCTAGGGGGGGGGGGTAGGTTAATTTTAGCTCCTGTGGTTCTTTTTTTCTAAAAAAAAAAAAACTTCTTTACAGTAATTTAGTTGATATATTAGCATTTGGGGTCATATGTTACTGAAGATAATACTGGTTGAGTGATTTTTGGTGCCAAGAGTTTTTAATGGGTGTGCTTAAGAACCACATGGAATCAGAAGTCTCATTTCCATTTATTCTCTAAAAATAAAAGCAATTTGTGTTGCTTAATTTTACTACTTTTATAAAGTTGTCTGAATGATTCGTTATGCTTATGACCATACAAATAAGCACTCAGTTAAATTCTGGGGGAAAGACTTCTGTCTACAACAGAAATTCTTACAAAGTTGATTTGGAATGCTTATTCTTGAAACTTTGCCAAACTGTAGAGACTTTGGTTCTTGTTGTATTAGTTTTTGTTTTATTATTAATATCAAACAGTGCTAAGAACCAACGGCACATGATAAACATAGAAGCCACTCAAAGTGGAAATGCCCACATTTATCAGCATCCTTACTGAAACCCAATTTTCTTAATCAAATATAATTATTTGTTTTCTAAAATTACTCCCTCAGAACAACTTTTTAAAAAACTGTCAGCAAAGGTGACTGATCCCCACACTTGTTGACTTTGAATTTATATTAACTTATCAGTTCCTCTTAAGTAAAATTATTTAAAGACTGTGCAGGCAAATTTGAATGGAATTAACCCTTTAGCTATAAATGCAAATTTCTGGAACTTGCAAAATCTTTATTACCTGTATTGTTTTGTACAACTCACCTGAATAGTTTTAAACTAACAAAAATATGGAATCAGGGAAGAGATGCTTGATGCCCAGAAAAGAATAAAATTAAACATATACTATTTTTTAAATAAAAATATTAACAAGAATTAAATAAATTAGGATGCAAAGAATGTCACTACTTTCCTATATTCAGCAAGGAATAAAAAGGAATATGAAAAAGTTAATTCAAAACAGAACAAGTCTCTTACTTGCAATCATGTTTAGATGGCTGAAACATCTACCTGAAGTGTTATGAAGCATCCATTCCTTTTCCTTCTACTTCTCCATCAGTAACATCAGGGATGAATTTTCTGGGTCTCAGCTGTCTGAATAAACACTGCTGTTTGTGATGGGATGGAATTGTGTTTAGGAGTACAATTCATTAGCAACCCCAGGGCGGCTTTTCCCTGTAGCATTTAAAATTTTTTTCACTTTTGTAAGTTATGCTTCAAAATGATACGTTGGTAATTTGGGGAATAAATTCAGTGTTTTAACATTATTTATAATTCTATTTCTGAACCCTTTGGGGAAACAAAGGTCAACAGGTTAAGTCACCTTTAAATTAGAGAGAACAGGAAAACTAATTAACATATTTATAAATGTTCAATATGTGCAGTTGCTCTTCATGCATTATCTTATTAAATCCTTTTAACTTCCTTCAGAGGTCAAGAGTAGGCTTAGATGGTTGAAGTTGACCTAAGGTTACTGGGCAGAAGGGGTCAAGGTAGACCATCCCTTCCATGCCACCATACTTTTCCCAGATGTAGATGATTATAGGTTTTTATTAATAAAGGTGACCAAAAAAGATCTTGGCACTCAGAGTTTTAAGAGAAAGAAGCAAGAGAGAGAGAGAGGAAAAAAAAAAAAAAAGAGAAAGAGACAGAGAAAGAGAAAGAGAAATTTGCAATAAATCCCGAAACATTTTTATCTGTATACATAAGAGATATCATTATAGGTTTCATATAATATTAGAATTAAGTGTTTTCTTTTAATTAATGTATAATTTAAATAATTTTTTGTCTTTACATACTTGCCTCTACCTACTTCCCCAACCTCATTTCTCGTCACTTCCTTCTGCTCAAGTTCCCCCATTCTCTACCATCTTCCTCCCCAGCCCCCCACACTTACCCACATTCTGGTACACCAGACCACAAGCCACCAGAAAGTTCCATACTCTTTCACTCCTTTTCACTTCAACTGTTTCTTTAATTTTTCTTTATTTGTAGGATTTCTGGCCATTTCTCAAGGCTCACTTAGAGAAACATGCCCTTACAGAGGGCCGCCTTGACTAGTCCCGGCTCCCACTGTTTCTTTTGTGTATGTTTGATTAATGCTTTTATCTTACAGTAGATATCACATTAATCATACTGTTTTAGTTTCAAGACCTTTTATTTTTAAGTTTATTTATTTCTTCCATGAGTGAGAAAGACAGAGTGAGGAAGGCAGCATCCTCAAGAAGGGTTTGACACACAGATCCATCCCAGCTTCTGCCAGCCCCAGATTATGGGTACAAATATGCATGGAATACTCAGGGAGGTTCCCAAACACAAACCACAGTCTTCTCATGGGAGGCATCTTAGGACACTGTTTTAAGCTGCACCACTGTTAGGCCCCTCATTCCAAGTCCTGATCTGCTAGCAACCTGAGCACCACACTTTGCGTTCTGCCATGCTTCATCTTTGCCAACGCCCTATTCTTCATTTTATCCTCAAAGCACCAAATGGATATTGACCTCAAAGAATTTAAGATACGGAAGATATTGCGGAATGACCTTAACAAACAGTCAACATTACAAACTCATTATTTTAGTCTGTGTGCTTTCATTGAGATTAAAGTTATCTACCTTTACCAAAACCATGTACTCATTAATGGACATTTTTCATATATGAGTGAAAAATATGAGAGCAAATATCATTAATTTTTAGCCACTTTGGATTATTCTCAGAATATTCTCAAGTTGACTTCTCCGTTACCTAAAGAGTACAGGCCACTCTGTGTATGTAAGAGAAATGACAAAATTTTAAATTGAGTTAGGTAAAATAAAATTTAAAAATTTGCTCATAAGATTGTATTTATGAAGTAATATTATAAAGATATTGGGCTTTATGGCTAATAGATTTTTATAGCAGAGTGATATTATTTAAACTAATTTTCTTCCTAAGATTTCTTTTGTCTTCTAGTTTCCCAACTCATGAATCTTAAATAAAATGATACTATTAATATCTGCATTTTGGACACTTCAGAAATATGAATTAGAGTTATTAAACTAATTTTCTTCCTATGATTTGTATTTTAGCTTCCCAACTCACAAATCTCATATAAAATGATACTATTAATATCTATATCTTGGGAATCAGCAGTTGGCGTAATGACTATGTCACTGGACTCCCACGTAGTTGACCACGGTTCGTGTCCTGGACCTGGTGGCTTAAAACTCATGCCGGGCACATGTGTGTGCGTGCCCAAGATCCCGAGAGGAGAATGGAGGAGAAGGGATTGCGGCGTGACCATATCCCCTGGGGGTGATTTCTCGCTTTCTGTTTCTGTGTCTCTGTCTGGCGAGCGCACGCACCCTGTAGTGAAAATCTCTCTCAAAAAAAAAAACTATATCTTAATCACTTCAGAAATACAAATTAGAATCATAGTCCATCAAAATAGAAAAGTAATCAGCACCAGTAGACTAAAAGAGTTCCAAGTACCTCTAATTTTCCAGATGGCAAAGCCCTTCTTAAATCACAAGTGTTGGTGGTTCACAATGTTATCCTTTTGAAGTTCTAAGAAGCTACCTCCATATTCTAATAGACATTCTGTCCTCTAAGCATCTCCCTCCAGCTGCCACAGCCACAGTGTTGACCAGATAGCATCTCCCTGCTCCTTTCCTCAGTTCCCTTATGATTCAACTTCCTGACTTAAACTATTGACTGTTCCCGTTGTTTTGGTTTGTCAATTTTAATCATTGCATCAGTCTTCCCAGCAATTGCACAATCATTCCATCTTATAAGATACTGCAAGCAGCAGAGAGTAGGGAGGAAAGTTCCAATTTATCACTCAAATAAGAGCAACTAATAGTTACCTACATTTACTCTGAATTGGGTGCTTTTCTAAGTGTTTTAACCTTATTAAAGAGTTTAGTCACCACTGCAATCCTGTGACATAGTTGCTGGTGTCATCTTCATATTTGAAGGCAAGTCCACTCACTTACTTTATCTAATTTTCTATAATTGAGTCAATTTTGTATCAACCAAATTAATTATTAAGTTGAATTTTAGGGTAACCTCCAAAAAACAGACAACAAACCATGGTACTTATTTGTACCTAAACTTTCAAGTGATGAGCTCAAATAGTCATAATTTCCCCCCAGAAAATGTGTCTATATTTTAACTGCTTTTATTAATCAAATTATTCTGTGTCATTGTTGGGATTTTCATCATCATTATTACCATCAGTGCGGCTGTGTACTGTGGCTCTCTGTACATTTGACTGAGTATTTGGTTTTCACCAGTTTGCAGGCCTCTGCATTGTTCACAAAACATGAGCTCTACCTTCAAAAATTGTTATAAGACCTTCATCCTAGAAGTTTAACATTATTTTAGTCAAACGGCATTCACATTTTCTAGTTTGTTGTGACTGATAGATGTGAATAAATTAAATGGTATGGTATTTACATCCATGTACCTATAATAATCATACAGTAATGTCAAATATAGGTGTCCTAAAACTGTGAAAGAATGAAAGATCATTTTGTGAGTGGAAAAAAAAAAGATGT